TCTCCTTCCCAGGATAATGAATTGAATCTAGCCAGCATGAATATCTGGCTTTATTGAACCATCTGTTGTGAATCATCACTTTCTCCATTTTAATGGGTGTAACATTAACCCAGTTAAACCACATTATACTGTTTCCAAGAAAAAAGTGCTCTTTGAAGAACAAAATGATACTTAAAAATGATTACAGGGCCGGCCCGGTGTCGCACTGCTACAGTGAGCCGCTTGGGAAGCGCGGTGGCGCTCCCGCCGAGGGTTCGGATCCCACGTACAGACCGGTTCCCACTCACTGGCTTAGCGAGGTTTGGGGGCAACAACGAGGGTTGCGATCCCGTTGCCGGTCCCGGTCCGGTACGGGCGCGACACTGAGGGTTGCGATCCGTTGCCGGACACGAAAAAAGACAAAAAGGAAAAAAAAAAAAAATGATTACAAAGATATGCGAAGAGAACACATGGCGCCTTCATAAGCAAAAGCTTTGGTGAACAGCATCAAAAAGCCCAGTCATTTTCATTACATAAAAATGCATGTAAGTATGTGATAAGAAACATCTAGCAATTCAGTGGCTTCTGAGAGAATTAATTAGTTTTTTTCCTTTTGGCAGCTGGCCAGTATGGGGATCCAAACCCTTGACCTTGGTGTCATCAGCACTCTAACCAACTGAGCTAACCAGCCAGGCTTTGGGGAGAATTTATGAGTTAGACGTCTTCAGATATAGAAAGACAAAGTTCTAAAGCCAGGCAAAGAAGTGCTCCCTGAGTCCTAGTAACAATGTTGGGGGCAGTGGGGAGAATAGACGCATCAGCACTCTAACCAACTGAGCTAACCAGCCAGGCTTTGGGGAGAATTTATGAGTTAGACATCTTTCTAAAGCCAGGCAAAGAAGTGCTCCCTGAGTCCTAGTAACAATGTTGGGGGCAGTGGGGAGAATAGACGTGACTTTGGCACTGTCTGATAAAGGCTTTGTATCTAGCACTATTGTGTGGATTTCCCAACTTATAACATAGTTTGTCACAATGATTCAGAACTGGGGTGTTTTTAGAATACAGACATGAATACAATTCTTAACATTCTTGTAACTTAACTCAAAACTGCATGTGCTGCTATTACTCTATACATTGCTCTCACCTTAATATGTGATGCATTGATGTAACCAGTATTGTTTTCTTTAGTTGGGACCAACTCCACTCTAGCATCATCATAGGGAAGGACATCTTGGAACCGATTTCTTTCTGCATTTTCAGGGAGTCTTGCTATTGAGCACTCGCCATCAACTAGCCGTCTTTTAAGAATTCTTTCATATTCTGTGAATACCATTCCCTGTTCTAACCGTTGCTCCAGAATTTTACACTGTAAAATAGAATATGTGGAATAATATAAATATAGTCACATGTCACAGCTGCATTTTGATTGTATGTTCAAAATCTTGTTTTCAGCTTCAAGTCTAGAATTAGATACCAAAAATTCTGGGTGAAACCAAAGTTAAAATTTTAACAAGCCATAACAATAGAGCTAAAAGAACAAAACACATAAACTTATCAGTGAGAAATATAATGCAAAATTCTGTTTAAAGTTAACAATTGGCCTAAAGCAATTTGTTGAATTCATTTTCTTAAAATCTACCGTCAATTTTGTAACCCTTAAAAAACAGAACTGCCCTGGAGTACAGTAAATCCTAGAGAAGGATAATCAGTTCCAACATCTGAGAATAAATGCTTCAATTTTATAAAATATGATATATAAAATACTGAAAGTAGTAGTAAATACTGGCAACTACCCCCAGGATCCATTTGTAAACAAACTCAGACCTTTCTCATTTTGATATAATAAAACCTCATAGAAAATACATCTTAGCCACAAAGGAAGTTTAGAAAACTTTAGTAACTATTTACTCTCAAGATAAACTCTCAATATAATGAAATCAGTCAATGTCTGCTTTCTTTCCTATGTATACCCATATACATTTGTAGGTTTCTTCTTACTTTAAGACCATCAGAAATCAAGACGGCCCCAAATGGCTGGAAGAAGGTAAAGAAAATTTGGAAACAAAAAATTAATCAACATTGAAGCCTGAAATTATCTAAGACATTAGCTACACATTTGTTCCAGTTTTGAGGCCTGGATTATAAAATTCCTAAACATTCACTTATGATTATTAAATTCTATTAGAAAATTCACTAACATCCCATGAAGGCATTTTTGTAGTATTGTCCCAGAGAAGGCACAGAGCCCCGTGTGTTCTGCACATACATACCCTTTCGTCATTCGTTGCTCTGGTAGGCACTTCCTTGCCTTCATCAGGCAGAGGCAGTCGAGATAGGGAGAGTCCGTTTAGAGCAGCCAATTTAAGAGGACCAATTTTTCTGGCATCTACTCGAGTCTTTTTCATTCCCTGTAAAAATATTTATATGTATATATGAAATATACACAAATACAACCCCTTTGAAAAGAAGTTTCAGTGGACTGAAGACTGGAAACAGAGGGAGTGTTCTCCTTCGCCAACAACCATAGGAGAGATTACATTCCTACACACATCATTTGTTTAACAAACAGGAGGATGACATTCCTTTCAAGGCCAAAGCCCTGATAAGTCATCCAGATATAAGGTTTTGAAACGCAATTGGTAACAAGGCTCTGTTGTAATGAAAGGTGAGGCTCCAGACAGACAAGAGTTCCTTTCAAAACATGACACACACAAAAATCAGCTGCAGTCGACAAAAAAGGTTTTAAGTGCAACCACTTGATGGTGATAAGTTTTTATAATTAAAAAAAAAAATTCTTTAAATCATTCTGAAAAAATTAAATGCTTCTGCTTCAGCTCCCTTTGTGTATTGCCTTCTCATATCCTATTCTGCATTCTATTGCACACATGTGTAACATGGGCTGATCACTACTCCTCTCAGAATGGTCACATTTTGAAACCAGGAAAGTAAAACAGGGCTGAAATCTTCATCATGATACCAGGAGGACAGGGTATAAGAGACAGCATCAATAGAATTCTGTCTCTTGAAAACAGGTGTTTTCCTAAAGTTATTATTAAAGCTAATGATTTTCCTCTCTAAGGCAAATAAGCCTAAGAATGCTAAACCTACTTAGATATTCTACACCTCCTTGGAAGCCATAATAATTATAATGAGAGTAGCCCCAATTTGAAATGAGTGGTTCTCTCTGTTCTATCTCATATATGAAATTGGCATTATTCCAATTCCTAGAAAAGGCTGATAAACTCAAGCATCAAGATAATGGGGTAGAACAAAGGGAAAAGGCATTTTGGTAAGGGAAAAAAAGTGCTGTAAGAATGCTACTATAATTGGAGTATATGACTGGTACCTAAATCAAAAAGTTAACTATTAATTTTTAATCTTATAATTCATATTTGATCATGAGCTCCCTACATAACATGCAATCCAGACTAGGAATAGGTAGAGTCCTGGGTTAAAGTCCAGCCTCAGCACTACCATGACTGGGGGCCCAGGTGGAAGCCACGTGGGCACCCTCCTCCACCCAAACAGAAGGCAGGAGCAAGCAGCAAACACCACTTCCGCACAGATGGAAGCACCATCACCGCCACCTCAACAGCTTCCACTGCTGCAAGGATGGCTCATTGCCGCAGTAGCAGCCACAACCACCATGCAAGCGGTCTACTGCTCACTCGACTGCCCTCATATAAGGAAAGTCATCAGCAGAGCCTGGAAAAAGAGGAGGAAGTCTTTCCCCTCAAAGCCCACTCCGGAGTAAAAGAAGAATCAACTGCCCTATGGGATGACCAGACATCAATGAAGAAATACTAGAAATATGAAAAAAACAAGAAAATATGACACCATCAAAGAAATACAGTAATTCTAAAGTACCAGACCCAAGGAGCAGGAAACCCTTGAAATGACTGAAAAGGAACTCCAAGCAACAATCTTAAGGAAATTCAATGAGAAAAGGGAAGACTCAGTGAGCCAACACAATGAAATGAGAAAAAAATATCTAGAATAAGAAGGAGGAAATTTACAAAGAGATTCATACATTAAAAGGGAATGTAGCAGAACTCCTGGAACTGAAGGATTCATTCGATGAAATTAAAAATACAACTGAGAGCTTAAGCAGCAGGTAACAGCAAGCAAAAGGAAGCACTTCTGATCTCAAAGACGGTCTTTTGAAATAGCTCAGGCAGACAAAACAAGAAAAAAAGAATTTTAAAAAAATGAAGAGAGCTAACAGGCAACCTTAAGCACACAAACATCTGAATCATGGGTGTTCCAGAAGGAGAGGAGAAAGGAAAAGGCACTGAAAGCCTATTCAATGAAATAACAATGGAAAAATTCCCAGGTATAGGGAGAGACATGGACCTTCAGATCCAGGAAGCTCAAAGATCACCAAACAGATTCAATCCAAAAAAATCCTCTCCAAGACACATTATACTCAAATTGGCAAAACTCAAAGACAAGGAGAGACTCCTAAAAGCAGCAAGAGAAAAGCATCAAGTCATCTATAAGGGAGCCCCCATCAGACTAACAGCAGACTTCTCAACTAAAACTCTACAGGCCAGAAAAAAATGGGATGATATACTCAAAATACTAAAAGAAAAAAACAAGACAAGGAGAGACTCCTAAAAGCAGCAAGAGAAAAGCATCAAGTCATCTATAAGGGAGCCACCATCAGACTAACAGCAGACTTCTCAACTAAAACTCTACAGGCCAGAAAAAAATGGGATGATATACTCAAAATACTAAAAGAAAAAAAACTGCCAGCCAAGAATACTATACCCAGCTAGGCTATCCTTCAGAAACGATGGAAAAAAATGTATATATTTCCCAGGAAAACAAAACTATGGGGCCCAAGGCCAGCCCGTGGCTCACTCGGTAGAGTGCGGTGCTGACAACACCAAGCCAAGGGTTGAGATCCCCTTACCGGTCATCTTTTAAAAAAAAAAAAACTATGGGGCCCACCAACATACAACTAGTCCTGCAAGAAATTCTCAAGGGAGTCCTGTATCCAGAATCTGAAAAACAATAACCACTAAGATGAATACATAAAAAAGAACAAAAACCCACTGGTAGAACAAAAATGCAAATGAAAAGAGAAAGAAACTTAATCTCACCACCTCAAAAAAACCAACAAACAAAGAAGATGAATAATAAAAGGGTAAGAAGGAAAGAAAAGATATTTAAAACATCTAAACAAAAAGCAATAAAATGCCAGAAGTAAGACAATATGTTTCAATAAAAAGGCTAAATGTGAATGGATTAAACTCCCCACTCAAAAGACACAGACTGACAGACTGGATTAAAAAGCTAGACCCAACTATATTCTATCTTCAAGAGACTCACCTCACCCGTAAAGACATACACAGACTAATATAGTGAAGGGATTGAAAAGACATACCATGCAAATGGAAACCAAAAACAAGCAGGAGTAGCTATACTTATATCAGATAAAATAGACTTTTAAAACAAAAACCAGAAAAAGAAACAAAGAAGGCAACTATATATATATAATGATAAAGGGATCTATCCAGCAAGAAGACATAAAAATCATAAAAATCCAGGCATTCAACACCAGAAAACCAAAAGAAAGAGAGAGACCACAATATGATAACAGTGGGGAACCTGAATACCCCTCTCTCAGCACTGGACAGATCATCTAGGCAACAAATCAACAGAGAAACAGGATTTAGACTATAGACTGATTGGATCTGGTAGATATCTTCAGAACATTTCATCCAACAACTATAGAATATATGTTCTCTTCAGCACACGGAACATTCTCCAGGACAGACCACATGTTAGGTCACAAATCAAGTCTCAGAAAATTTTTTAAAAATCAGAATCATTTCAAGTATCTTTTCAGACCACAACAGAGTAAAACTAGAAATCAATAACAAGTAAAACTCAGGAAACTATACAAATACATGGAAATTAAACAACAGGCTCCTGAATGACCAATGGGTCCAAGAAGAAATTAAACAGGAAATCAAAAAATTTCTTGAAACTAACAAAATAGACACATCATACCAAAACCTGTGGGCTACTGCAAAAGTAGGACTAAGAGGAAAGTTTACTGCAATAAATGCTTACATCAATAGAAAGATTTCAAATAAGCAACCTAAGGTTACACCTCAAAGAACTAGAAAAACAAGAACAATCCAATCCCCAAATTAGTAAACATAAAGTAATAATTAAGATCAGAGCAGAACTAAATGAAAGAAAGACCCAAAAAATGATACAAAAATCCATGAAACAAAATGTTGTTTTTTTGAGAAGATAAACAAAAAAAAGAAGAGAGAAGGGGCTGGCCCGGTGGCGCACTCGGTAGAGTGCGGCACTTAGGAGCGCGGCGGCACTCCCGCCGAGGGTTCGGATCCCAAATAGAGACCGGTCCGCTCACTGGTTGAGCGCAGTGCAGGCGCGACACCGAGGGTGGCGATCCCATTACCGGTCACGAAAAAAGACAAAAAAAAAAGGAAAAAAAAAAGAGAAGACCCAAATAACAAAATTTGGATATGAAAAAGGAGACATTACAACTGATACCACAGAAATGCAAAGAATCATTAGAGACTGCCATACACAACTATATGCCAACAAATTCAAAAACCTGGAGGAAATGGATAAGTTTCTAGACACATACAAACTACCAAGACTTAACCAAGAAGAAACAGAAAACCTGAGCCGACCAATAGTAAGCAACAAGATTGAAACAGTAATCAGCAGTCTCCCAACAAAGAAAAGCCCAGGACCAGATGGCTTTTTACTGCTGAATTCTACCAAACCTTTAAAAGGAATTAATACCAATCGTCTCCAAACTATTCAAAAAAATTGAATGAGACCATTCTCCCAAACTTATTCTATGAGGATAGCATCACCCTGCTACCAAAACCAGACAAAGATACAACAAAAAAAGAAAACCACAGGCCAATGTCTCTGATGAACATAAATGCAAAAATCCTCAACAAAATATTAACAATCAGAATACAGTAACACATCACAAAAATTATACACCATGATCAAGTGGGATTCATCCCAGGGAGGTAAGTAAGGATGGTTCAACATACACAAGTCAATAAATGTGATATACAACATCAACAAAATCAAGGGCAAAAACCATATGATTATCTCAATAGACACAGAAAAAGCATTTGGCAAAATTCAATATCTCTTCATGATAAAGATGCTCAGCAAATCAGGTATAGAAGGAAAGTAATTCAGCACAATGACAGCCATATATGACAAACCCACCACCAACATTATCCTGAATCATCCTTAAGAATAGGAACGAGACAAAGATGCCCACTCTTACCACTACTATTTAACATAGTATTACAAATACTAGCCAGAGCAATCAGGTAAGAGAAAGAAAGGACATCCAGACTGGAAAATACAAAATCGTACTGCCCTGTTTACAGAT